CGCCGGCGCCGCCCCATCCCCACTGGCTGCGCTCACTCCGGGACAGGCGTCCTCTCCCTGCTGCCCCACCAGGATGTACAGCGACTCCCCGAGACCGAGGGAGAAGATTGCTGAGACGAAGACGCCATGCGCCCGCGACAGGTGGTTCTTGGCGCCTTTGCCGCCCGCGGCTCCATAGGCTGAGATCCTGCGGGGAGCGGTCGGTGAGTCCCCGGCCCTCGGTGCTAACAGAAGTTGGCAACAGAGAAGGCTCCAGAATTATTTTTTATCTGAGGGACTTGGAGGCTGCAATCGACTCTGACGGGATGGGAAAGGCAGGTTTGCACACCAAAAGTTCAGATATTACACTTATTTCAGGAGGGTTCGTGGAAATGTGGGGAGGCTCAAGTACCCCTTGGCGCCGCCCTGGTTGGGGGCCTTCCGCTCGGTGTAAGAGGGTCCGGGTCAGGGCTAACTCGGTGGCCACTATTGCCACCTTGAAGGGCACTCAAGGTGGACCTCTCTGCGGAATACTCCGAGACACAAGGCGGTGCGCAAGTGGCCTTCGTTCCCCTGACGGTGAAACCTCCAACTAGCAGGTCACTGCCCACCCTACCCCCTCCCCGCACTTACAGATACTGGCCAGGGCCCGGCACGCGCCACAGCTGCACGCCTCTCAGCTGCCCGGCGGCCCCCACGGTCACCACCACGCTGGTCCCCGCGTAGGCCCCATCACATTGTGTCTGTGTGGGCCCATGCCGGCCGCTGGCCCCGCAGGTAGAAAACAGCCAGGACCCCTCGGTGCCTGAGAGCAAGGAGTGAGGCAAGGGTCGTCGAGCCCCTGGCTGGGCCAGAGGGGTCTGGTGTGGTGAGCGGAAGAGGAAGGAGGCGCCTAAAGCTCACCCGGAGAATTCAGCTGGGAGGCTGGCTCCAGGATGCTAGGCGGGGCGCTGACTTTCGGGTCCTGGGGGCCGGGACTTGCCAGCGGCAGGGGCGAGGACGGCTGAAAAGGCTCCTGGGACCCCGGGCTAGAGCAGAGAATGGCGCCTGAAAGGTGTTGGGAGAGGCGCAGGACATTAAGGCGGGTGGAAATAGGAAATAAAAGAAAGAGAGAACCCCGCAACAGCTGCCCTTGCGGTCGCGGCCACACCCCTCACCCTGCCCAGCCCTCCTCTCAGCCTGGAAGCCACTACCCGACTCCGGTCGCTGAAGCCCCGCGGGTGCTCGCTGATAGCTCTACCAGTTTTTCTCCTCGACCGCCCTTCCCAGAGAATAACTTAGGGGCTGCACTGAATTTGGTCCTGCAGCCTCTCCAATACTCTCCTCGACTTAGATTGGTTGCCCCGCCCCAAGGCGGCGCTGAGACCCCAAAGAATGTTCCTCCTTCCCAAGCTGCGTGATCCAGACTCTGGGATTCGCACTACTTGGCACTTCTCCGCCCGCACTCCAGAAGCACGGACCGGAGAAATGTGGTTGTGAGAGTTCGAGGCCTCTGGAGGAACCACCGACACCTGGCCTGTTGCGACCGGCCACCCACAAGCCTAGGAAGGTGCCTTTGGCTGGACGGTCCCCTGACCGCCAGACAGCACTTACCCACAGCTCCGAACCACACCAGCAGCCGGCCCCAGCGTCCCATCCCTGTTAGGTCCACCCGGCAACAACAGCCCTTGCGGTCGTGGCCACACCCCTGTCAACCTGAAGTTGACAGCTCACTTGGCCACCGCAGCCCTGGCCGCCACTTACAGGAGTGTGCTGCGGCCGGCGAGACACTCACCGGACCTAAAGCCGGCCTGGCCACGCCCACCTCAGACCCCAGGACGCCAGAGGAGGAAAGGGAGGGGCGTGTGGGCAGCGAGGTCCCTACGCTTCCGGGAGGAGCCTTAAGGAGTCCCCACCCAGGGGCTCTAGTCTCCAGCCGTCAGATGTGCCGCAGCCTGCTGGGAGCTGGGGTAGGTTTGAGGCCGGAGAGGAGGTGCCCCACTTTTAAAGCGGGAGCTACACCTCGGACACCAGGTGGGGGCTTCCAGGTTCCTGAGGACAGGAGCAGCGGAGTGTGCACTTCATTTGTGGTTGTGGTGGTGGTGGGTGTGTGGCACGCGTCACCACACGTGGGAAGTACTCTCTAAACTGCCCCAAGTAAGGCCTCATCACCTGCCATTACTTGTGCCTTTCAGTGGTGCCTTTGTGACTGCAAGGCTGAACCTCCCTGCTACCCCCAGAAACCTGGATCTCTGTGTTTGCCTAATATAATTCCTTTGCCCGTGTTACCCCTGTGCACAGCTTTCACTCTGATGGGGTAAAAGACTGGACCAGACGTTAGAAGATCTGAGTGCTTTTAGTAGCACTGAAGGACGATAGATGATAGGTAGACAGATCGATCGATCGATTGATCTTGAGCACTAGTACTAGCACCTCTGGTAAATGGGTGATGTAGCACAGACCACAATTGCTCTGAGAGTTTCCCCACCACCTGCAAAATCATATGAAGGGAAATTGCTCTGTAAGCTACAAGGTACCCTACAAATGTGGGAGCCACTCCCTTCAGGTAGTTTTGTGTCTTGAGTCTTCGATCATTTGCTTAAAATTCTAACTTGAGGGCCGGGTGCAGTGGCTCATGCCTATAATCCTAGCACTTTGGGAGGCTGAGGCAGGCAGATCACCTGAGGTCAGAAGTTTGAGACTAGATAGACCAACATGGCAAAACCCCATCTCTACTAAAAATACAAAATTAGCCAGGCGTGGTAGTGCACGCCTGTAATCCCAGCTACTCGGGAGGCTGAGGCAGAGAATTGCTTGAACCCGGAAGGCGGAGGTTGCAGTGAGCCAAGATTGCACCACTGCACTCCAGCGTGGGCAACACAGTGAGACTCCGTCTCAAAAAAACAAACAAAAAACAAAAAAAACTCCTGGTCTCTATTCCCTAGTTATGACTATGAGATCACAGA